AGGTAGTTTGGTAATAATGAGGTAGGTAAAGGCTAAAATTAAAATATTAAAATTAAATATAAACTCGATAATATTTATTATTAGGTACCTCATTATCGTGATTTATTAACAATTGTTATTGGTTTAAAATTAATTATCACTGAATTAAACCTAGACTGGTTTAAAAACTGGTTTGAAGCAGTTTTTCAACCGAAAAGGCATTAAGTTTATGCCTTTTTTTGTTTATTAGGTAATTTTAAATGTGTGTATAATGAAAAACTCAATGTCAGACATGTAATGAATATGGTGTTAATGCTTTGAATGTTTAATTACATCGTGTTTGTTTCTATAAGGCTTTGTTTAATTGTTCATTGTTTTATTTAATCAAAAGGCTGGCCATGACATGAAAATTAATATTTTTAACTGATGGGAAATCTCGAATGTTACTTTTGGATAATTTATGTGAGTGTTCTTATGTATTCTGAAGTCTTAATTTTGACTTGTTTTAGTAGTACTTAACCTTTATTCTTAAATTTGTTCCTAACAGATAATCGGAAGGTATACATATAAAACGTAATAGATAATTTTTATGAAAGGACTACCTAATCCGGCAAACTTCATACCGCCTAAATTGATTTTCCCACTGTTTAAACCTTCTCAGGCCTTTCATGAACATATCAAGACCAAAATTAACCAAATCGGTTCAGCCGTTCTCGAGTTTTAGCGAGACTAACGAACGGAAATTCATTTTTATTTGTATAGAGAGATTTAATAAATCGAGAATCAGAATGTCATTTTTATTCTTTCATACATAAAGAATATCATTTTTCGTAGATACATGAAATGTTAATGATTAAAAAATTGAGTGTTTAACAATACAAGTACTAACAACAAGACTACTATTCTATTGAATGTTTTAATAAATAACCATTACACATATTTTCATAGTACCTTACCTAGTATATTATTATGGCTAAATTACACTACAAAATCCACCATTTTCCCTCTAACATTATTATTTATTGATTGTCAAGGACTTTATTTCGATATGGCATTAATAATTCATAACATAAAATCTAAAGTAATTTACCTGCTACACGTAATAGGCACTCGTCTGGTGGGAATGGTTATCAGTTGTGAAATGACTCACTGGTTTCGTTAAAACATGCTTAATTTTATTGACAGAATGACTTAAGCGCGAAATAATGCCTTATGGAATCTTATAGTTGAAGCTGAAGACTGCTTCTTTGGCTGAGTGGTCGCAAGTGCGTCTGCCGGGACTCGGGTTCGATTCCCGGGTCGGGCAAAGTATTACTGGGCTTTTCAAAAAGTTCACAGTAGTCGTAGTATATGGCAATAGGCTCACCCCCTATTAAATGGGACTCATAACATGAATAGTGAAAAGTGGGTGTAACATGTTATACAGTGGCATAATGTACACCTCTGCCTACCCCTTCGGGGATAAAAGGCGTGATGTTATGTTATGTTATGGAATCTGATAGCAATTATACTCGTCATTTTCATACATACGTAATAGATGAGAGACTTTTTAATGCGTATTATAACAAAATATTTTTAGTGTCTTTGATAAATCTGAACCTTAACACGTTAAAGGCCATGGGGGTCACCGGTGACCGACGTTAGCGGAGGATTTACCTTCAACAGTTTTTTATTTTTTTATTGGTAGTCAAAGGCTTAATACTGTGATCTCTCTACTCGGCCAAGCGTAGATATAGAGATTGTGGCAAACCCTCTTATGTAGAGGAAACCCATTGTTCAGGAATGGACTTAACACAGACTATTTGATGATGACACCGAATTTCATCAAGATCCATAAAGCCGTTTTAGAGTAATTTAGTAACATATAATTTCGGATACAATTTTTTTTATGGGATAAGCCGGTAAATCTGTTGACGAATCACCTGATGGTAAGCAAGCGGCGTCGCCAATGGACATCCAGAACACCAAAGGCATTACAAGTGCGTTACCGGCCATTTCGGGATTAGGAATTGTTGGGGTTTCAGGGATTGGGGAGATTGGGGCGGAGGGGGTAATTGGGCCTCAGGTAACCTCACTCACACGACGAAACTTAACGCAAGCGTTCACGTCGGTTTTCTGCTCAGCCGTGGTATCACTCCGGTCGAGCCGGCCCATTCTTTCCGAAGCATGGCTCTCCCATACTTAATATACACTTAATATTTATGTATGATCTCTTTGACATTGAACAATAAATAACAATGTTATATCTAATCAAATTAAAAACTTTACCAGAATACTCGTCTAATTAACAAGTGTGTTTGTGAGGTTAAAAATCAAATATGGCCGCCTGATAGCTTGAATTAGGTCATACCGTCTAGCATCAGTCATGATCGTGAGTACTAGACTTTAGGCTTATGACTCAGGCTGAGTCAACCTTAGGTGGTACGTATTTAAGTGTAGGTATTCTTGTATTTCATTAACTTATAAGTTAGTAAATTACATAATGTTACGTCGACTCCTTTTAATCTCCGAAGGCGTAGCTAAAGGTGCACTGCATATAAACAATGTAGCAGAGGCGGGGAGTGTCAGACTCTTACTAACTAAAACCACCCCGTTCCTTCTGCACGTCGAGCCGGAGCCCCCGCGACTCATATATGCCCGTCCATGGCGGCCTTTACCGACGGTCCCATTCATATTCGTTCTATAAACTTCTTTCGTAAATCTACTTTCATCCATTTTTTCTAGGGTAAGCCTATTGCTATAATATTGGGTACAATTCCAGATTCAATTCTATTACTGAAATTTAAAAAAGTCTGGGTGTGATGTATTTATTTGATTATATGATTTCTTTTTCTTTTTTTTCTTTCTTTTCTTTCTTTCTATGTATGTCGCTGAGTGCCGAATAAATGTTTTTATTTCTTTCTTTCTGTGTATGTGAAATTTTACGTCATTATAAAAGTAGCCACGACACAAGAGGAGGACTTCCTCGATCACCTCCTCTATTCCTCGGTTTTTTTAAGCAATGATGATGATTCAGATTTCCCATAACAACAATTTTGATCTTGAAACATGTCTAATACGTTTGACCTTGTCCAGTTAATATAGCTCTGTTAATTGGTTTAATGAAAATTGGATTAGACGGTTAGACACTCAGATTATCTAATTGTCTACAAATAAAATAAACACTACCTACGTTATTTTTGTAATACTGCTTATCCTGAAACCCGAAAGTGGATTAACGATGTCTACACGTTTTGACAATTTCTATAGTGTTATTATTTTTATACTATCTAGATCTACTACTGGTTATACCTGATACGGACTGCCTGGTAGTAAGCAGTTATTGTACCTCTAGTACATACATACATCTGTAATTTTATTGTGTACCTACTTGCCAACTAGTCAAATTCAATACTTTTTTCGAACTGTCAAAAACGACATTTTTCTATGAATTTTGTACGAGATTGTGTATTGTGATGTCACGTTGTTTAGCGTCAGACAGCATACTTATTTCTTAAAAAATTGATGGAAAAGTACTAAAATTGAGTTGGTCATAAAATCAATTAATGAAAGTGTGATAATTTTTTAATATTTTATTGCATTGTACAGTCGTATTAATTTATTTTTGATTAAGGAAAGTACCTAATTAGTTACTATTTTATCTGGTATTCTGTATTTCCCTTGTTTCGGATCTGTGGGTGTAAATCTTAGTGTGAGGCGACTTTTCTTTCATTATCTCCTTTCATGCGTCATCCTATCACTAATTTTCTTTGCATCATTCCTCACCCAATGTAACTTTTTTATTCGTCCTCTTCTTTTCCTAAACGTTTATGGTTTTTTTTATGGCGTAAACGAGCAGACGTATCACCGGTAAGCAATCGGCGTCGCCCATGGACACCTGGAACACCAGGGTCGTTACAAGTGCATTACCGGCCTTTTGGGGATTAAGAGTTTGAGGATCGTTGGGGATTCAGAAATTGGGGACATTGGGGAAGGGGAGGGTAATTGGGCCTCCGGTAACCTCACTCACACGACGAAGCAAAACACAAGCGTTGCTTCACGTCGGTTTTATGTGAGGCCGTGGTATTACTCCGGTCAAGCCGGTCCATTTGTGCCGAAGCATGGCTCTCCCACACTTAATTAATTACGTTCAGAATTCGCTTTGTCACTTTTTTTTATTATGGCTCCTTTTCTTTTATTTACGTTTTTATTAAACAACAGCAAACGTGGTGATTAATGCTTAAACCTTATCCATGTAACAAGAGGGCATTGGTCAGCAGTAGGCACTTATCGGCTGGTGATTGATGTGATAAAATTACTTCTTTAGTTCTACCGATCCCTTCATCAGTTTGATCGTCATTCATATGCGCTACCGTAACGCATATAACTTAGTAATTACATCATCAGTTACGGTTGACCGCGACGTATCATACGTACCTACAACATACAACATATTGTGCCTTATTGTACGACAATAGGCAATCGCCTATTGTTTCAAATGACATTGTTACCTTATGCGGTGTGTCGTGAACTCAATTTTGAGATGCAGGCATTTCTTTTAAAGGGTCTAAGAGAAAAATAAAGTAATTTGTTCCACGTCTGATTTTAGGATGATTGAATGTAATGAAAATCTGTTCAGCTGTTTTGGAGTTGTAAATTGTATAGTTAAGACTAATTAGCACTAATTTGGTTACAATGCAAGTAAAATTAGGTCGTTATTTTAATTTCAGGGGTAATAAAACTTAATATTTTCGAATTATTTGGAAATATTCGTTTTCAGCAATGTCTTACATCTCTGATAGTGATAAGTACCATACCATCAAGGTATAAAAACATAAAACAAGTTGATATTAACTTCAATTTTCTATTTGTTACAGAGTCTAAGAACAATGCAGGAAACCCGAGGGTAACTGAAATTACGAAAAACACGAACGAACGAAATGGTAATAAACTGAAATTGAACGCATTCAAAACAGAGAGAGACACAGCGAGAGAGAGACAGAGCTCAATCCGAAAATAGTGCGTTCGAAAATAGAAAAAAAATGGCTCAGTCTCAGTCAGTGATCGAAGACACAGCGGCGGGGACGGGCGCCGCGCGCTGGTGGGAAGCACCATGGAAAACTATGGCCGACTTAGCCGAAGCAGTTGACGATCTCATATGTAGTTTCGATTATATGGACACTGCCATGGACAACCTAGTCATGCTAATCTTCATATGGATACTGTTCTCCATCGTCCTGTTAGGCATCGCAAAATGGGCGTATTCCCGCTTCGCGAACAAAGTAGCCGAGGTCGATACAAAACAAAAAACGACTGTTGAAGAAGTGAAGAAAACATCGAATGAAATTATTAACAGTGCTGATAGTGTGCTAGTTACCAGTGCTAAGGTTAAAAGTGCTTCGTTTAAACCTGCTAAACCTACTGGGTTCGTGCCAGCCACTCCTCCGAACAAGAGAAGGTTAGGTCGCATGTCCCCTGGGCCCGAACAGCTGACGCTGAAGAAACACCAAAGCATCATAGTACCTACGTGTACGGGCCCCGACCCGCCGAGTGTACAATGGGTGAATGACCTATTGACGTGGTTATATAATGATCTAGTTATTGTGAATGAACTGGTGCAGCAATGGATTGTGTCCATGAACGAGTTCTCCAAGAAGTCCGTCGAAGAGGTGAGTTTGTATGACAACTGTCTCTTTGCTTATATTTTTTATCTGTGCGAATGTGTCATAGACAATTTGTGTTGTCGCGTTGCGTGTCTTTGGTAGTTCTATTTTGTTCGTTTTTATGCGTCATAGTTGTGACAGTACTCAAGTTTTAGTAATAGGCATCCGAGATTTGTTGCCTACTGAACATTTTTTACGACTTTCTCAATGTTATGTGGTTAGACTTGGAACTATACCAGTTTTCAGTCTTTTGAGGATAAAATTAATGTCTTGGGGCATATTCAGGATCAAAATCGTCTGTAAACTAATAAAGCTTGTTCTCTAAAATGACTGTCTAAATGTTTGAGAAATGAACATAGTCGTAGAGGGTTTAGATCCTCTAATAAAGCGTTGAATATAACATTATAATTAAAGTACCTAGTGTTAATGTTAGGCAATAAATAAAATGTAATAAAAGAAATTAACAAAACTTACTGGTGTAAACGAGATAATAGATAGTATAAGTACTTAGATAGATAGGACTTGTAAAACTTCTGTATTATTTACGTCTATCTACACTCTTTTGAGAAAATAAACAGACATCAAGCTCCATTATTCATCATCCATCAAAATGCAACGGTGAAGGTCTTCATCCATCCGAGCCGTCAATAAAGCGCATCATTGCCAAACGTATAGGAAAATTACTGAGAAATTAACATACGGACATTTACGAAAATTTATTTTTTTAATCTAACCTTCCTTTTGTCTGTAAAATGTCGCTGATCGGTTACCATGAGAAGATCCATCAGCTCATTTGCAGTCTAACCCACAAAATTGTCGCGGAGAACCTAACGGGTAATCGGGGCTCCGGCTCGACGTGCAGGAGAAGAAACGGGGTGGTTTTTAGTCAGTAAGAGTCTGACACTCCCTCCCGCCTCACCCAGGCGGGAGCAGTCATTCGATGATTTTCCCCCTTTAAAAAAAACGCAAAAAACAAAAATAACCCAAACAAAAAATATATTTTCCTTTGATCCTGTGATCTTGTCGGAAAATTTCCCGTGATCCTCCACATTTGTTAAAAAATATGTCAAAGTTTATGCTCAATGCGTCGGTATAAATCAAAATAAACTTAATACCAACTCGCTACGATAGAATTTTGGCTGTATATTGTCTGTCAGTCAGTCGGTCTATCATTGAGTCCGTAGCAACCTCTGTTATAAGTTCCGCAGGAATGTTGGGGATTCAGGGGGATGGTAACCGAAGGGGGTAATTGGGCCTCCGCTAACCTCACACACACGACAAAACACAACGCTGTGGTTGTTTCACTATGGTCTTCTGCTCGGCCGTGGGCCTCAGGTCGAGCCGGCCCATTCATGCCGAAGCATGGTTCTCCCACACTTAAAACGTTATTGATTTTGGTCATACAGAAATAAGAACAAATTAAGAAATAGGATAAGATTTTAATAGATAATATAATAGATCTTTTATCTACTAACTTTATCCACATTCAAGAAAAGAGCATATTCCTTTTTAAAAGGCCGGCAACGCACCTGTGACTCCTCTGGTGTAGCGTGTGTCCATGGGCGGCGCTGATCGCTTACCATCAGGTGATCCGTCAGCTCGTTTGCCTCCTATTCCATAAAAAAAACCTAAAATCAACCACATTTCAAAACATAGTCTTTATAAATGTTTGTAGAAGATAAAAACCTGATGTTTTTCCAAAAGTTTCGTATATAAACAATAATAAAACTGTACGAGAGGACCTTGACTGAAGGCCGTGCGCATGCGCAGACGGAACATGTGTTGTGCTAGATCACGTTTTATATTAACTAACCAAACATTTGGAAGCTTCTATAAGAAGTTGATTTTAAAACAAACATAAGGTTGAAATTAAGTATAAGATTAAACAAAAATAAAATATAACATCACGCCTTTTATTCCCGAAGGAGTAGGTAGAGGTGTACATTATACCACTGCACATGTAACACCCACTTTTCACTATTTATGTTATGAGTCCCATGTAATAGGGGGTGAGCCTATTGTCATATACCGGGCATATTTCCAAACTCCGCGCTGCTACTGAGATTTTTTTAAAAACCCAGTAATACTTTGCCCGACCCGGGAATCGAACCCGAGACCCCTTGCCTGGCGCACTTGCGATCACTCGGCCAACGAGGCAGTCGTATGAATATATTAATATATGAATATATATTGAGTATGCCTGCAAAGACTGACGACATTTGATGAAGCGAAAAAGGTACGTAAGAATCATAGCAAATTGGCGTTCCATCTTAGAGTACCTATGGGTACTTTAAACGCTCCATAGTCTCTACCTACCCCAATGGGAGACAGGCGTGATGCATGTATGTACATAACTTACAAGTGAACGTTTTCTTTCTATTTTCTTTCTAAAAAAAAAACGTTGCCCCACACTAGGATTATCTCCTGTATCGTGGGTGCGTTTACACACATACAAGTTCACATACACATGACACCCAGACCCGAAACAACAATCTGTGGATTACACAAAGAGTTGTTCCGTGCGGGAATCGAACCCGCGACACGTTGTGCGGCAGCCAGTTGCCTAGCCACCGCACCAACCGTGCAGTCATAACAGTATTATGTAGTTCAGTTACGTTTTTAACTTATATTCAGTGTGTGGGCTAATGTTCATTAAAAATAATCTAGATATCCAGACTACCTATTTAAATTCCTGCAAAAACTAGTAATGTATTGTTTTTACGTAAAATGGGTTTCGAAATTCCTCCGGTAATGACTTCTACAAAAAAGTTCATTTGTCCAAATTCCAAGTACCTAGTTATATTTCATCAACGCTATCTTTCAATATCATTCATCAACAGCCTATAAATGCCCACTGCTGAGCAAAGCCTCTTCTCACACGGAGAAGGTTAGAGCATTAATCACCACGCTTGCTCAGTGTGGGTTGGTGATTTCAAACTTATAATTAGAAATTATAAGCCCAGGTTTCCTCACGATGTTTTCCTTCACCGTTTATTAGTGGTGTCTAAATAATCTTAGAAAGTACATATAACTCGGAAAAAGTCACATTGGTACTTGCCGGTTTCGAACCCGCACCCTCATGCATGAGAAGCGGGCGTCTTAAACCTCCGGGCCACCACGACATCTTTCAATATATATCTATTCTATTCTATATAAATAAAAATGAAACCCGTTTCCCGTTGTCACGCCATAACCTGAAAACTGCTGGACCGATTTGGCTATTTTTTTATTGTATTTGTTACTTTCAGGAGAAGGTTCTTAATACAGAAATCAGAACGGGAGAAAACGGGATTGCGCGTACGAAGTCGCGGGCAGAAGCTAGTTATATAAAAAAACATATTACAAACTCAAACTCCAAGTCAAAAGCATTTATTTCAATTAAACCGTAATTTGATACTTTTGAAACGTCAACAAATCTATCTATATCTTATATACCTCTATATAAAAGAAAGTCGTGTTAGTTACACCACTTATAACTCAAGAATGGCAGAACAGTTTTGGCTGAAAATTGGTAGGGAGGTAGCTTAGAGCCAGGAGACCGACATAGGATACTTTTTAACCAAAATTATTTTTTTTTACCGAAAATCACGAACGGGTGCGGGATAAAATGGGATGGTACGCGCACGAAGTCGCGGGCAAAAGCTAGTATAAAATAAGAGTCTGCCAGACAGTCCGTCAGCGAAGCTAGGCGCTCGTTCCAAAAAGTAGATTCGAGTAGAGAAGAATGAGCAAGAAACTCCATTCGTTGCTGTTTCTACAGTAATTACTTTATTTGTGTACCCTTCAACGGCCAAGTCACACAGCATTATAACTATAATAATAAAGAAATCGCACCTTAGACTTGGGACGACTTTGTCTAGATTTCATTACTTCTTAAAGAAGAACGAGCGGCTCCATCGAGTCTTGGCTAGTTTTTACGGAATGTTTTTGGTGGGATAGACTTTAAATAAAATATAGACTTGAGTACCGTCATTATAGACACAATTAAAGAACAATAGGTGGCGGTCACCGGTGTCCTCGCGGTGTTTGACAGTTTAAATAGACTTGGTATCCAATATGACATTATAACATTTTTTTGTACATGATAACTAAAAGATAGTAAATATTAACTATTACTAAATATATACAACTTAAAATATAAATAACTACGAACTAAAATATTAACACCTTAAAAAAATTAAATAAAAATGGTATCTTATGGCATCAAAAAAAATTTTTTCCTCATCGCTGTCGTGAGGTAGGGTGCCCAAAAGACTGGCAGCATTGCCACGTTGAATGGCAATGCTTAACCTTTGTCCAAGGTAGACAATCATAATATAGACTTAAATTATTCAAAAACATTTCGAAACGCCCGGTCGCTGCATCTCGTGACCAGAGGGCTGGTCTATTTCTCGGTCAGAGGTTAAGCATTGCCATACAACGTGGCAATGCTGCCAGCCTTCTGGGTACTTACGACATACGTACGATGCGGACGAATTTTTCGATGCTTTATGTAAATAGATGTTTTTAGTTTTATTTTAATTAATTTTTATCTTAAGTTGTATATATTTAATGTAGTAAATATAGTATTAATTTTATTTATGTACCTAATTAATTTTATTTTATTTATCTCACCCTGACGCGGGCGGGAGAAGCCATTGGAATATATTCCCGCCTCAAAAAAAAAATTGACTCAGTATCGATTTCAATCAATAGTTAATTCTTAACTGTAGAATTAAATTGACAGTTGGCAGTATTTAGTATTGAAGTTAATTGTCTGATAAAATATTACTAGTGTTGGAAAAACCGGTCCTCAATCTGTTACATTTAATATTATTCATAGTTCTATTAAAAAAGTACCAATCCTGCATTGACTCAACCTCTTCATAATGTTGACATCACATCCTGTAACGATAATACATTTTGCTGCTCCTGAAATAACATCAGTACAAAAATAAACTTTGTGTCTATCAACATAAGGTCGTTCCTGTTTTATTTTTGAGTTCACCGGCTTCTATTTGTGTTTG